TGAGATCATCAATGACATAATAAAGGACCAATTTGAAATGAAGGCTACACGAAATTGAAATGAAGAATAATTTACAGGGAATCAACAGTAGAGGACACTGAGAACCAAATCAGCAGTTTGGAACATGAGGAAACAAAAAACACCCAACCAGAAGAGCAAAAAGAAAAAAGAATCCAGAAATATGAAGATAGGGTAAGTAGCCTGAGGGACAACTTTAAGAGGCCCAACATTCATATTATTGGGGTGCCAGAAGGAGAGGAGAGAGAGCAAAAAATTAAAAACCTATTTGAAAAAATAATTACAGAAAACTTCCCCTACCTGGGGAAAGAAATAGACTTACAAGTCCAGGAAGCACAGAGGGTCCCAAACAAGAGGAACCCAAAGAGGCCCACAGCAAGACACATCATAATTAAAATGCCAAAGGTTAAAGACAAAGAGAGAATCTTAAAAGCAGCAAGAGAAAAGCAGTTAATTACATACAAGGGAGCACCCATGCAACTGTCAGCTGATTTCTCAACAGAAAATTTGCAAGCCAGAAGGGAGTGGCAAGAAATATTCAAAGTGATGAAAAACATGGAACTACAACCAAGATTACTCTACCCAGCAAAGCTATCATTTAGAATTGAAGGTCAGATAAAGAGCTTCTCAGACAAGGAAAAGCTAAAGGAGTTCATCACCACCAGACCAGTACTATAGGACATATTGAAGGGTCTTCTTTAAGAAGAAGCTAATGAACAAAAGAAGAATCTGACGAACTAAATAGATCCAGAGACATTGACGTATATAACAGACGATTATATTTCTGAGGAAAGAGGGAAGGGGGTGGAGGCTGGGAAGAGATTAACCAAATAAGTTATATGCATATAAGTATAACCCATGGACACAGACAATGACGGTGTGAAGGCCTGGGGAGGGGTGGAAGCGAGGTGGAGGGGGTCAATTGGGGGTAAAAACATGGGACACCTGTAATACTTTCAACAATAAAGATAAATTTTTTAAAAAAGTAAATAGAAAGATATAAATTTTGCCTCTATATGTAATATATATACACATACATACATAACCAGTGATCTAGAAGTATACATACAAAACTGTTAATAATCATTTTTTTCTTTTACTTTATTGTTCAAAATATTACAGATGTCCCCTTTTTCCCCATTGACCCCTTCTACTCACATCCACACCCTGCCCCAGACCTTCACCACACTATTGCCTGTGCCCAAGGGTTATGCATCTATGCATATAAATTCTTGGTTACACTCTCTCACCCACCCCCAACTTCCCTCTAAGACTCATCAGCCTGTTCCATGCTTCTATGTCATTGGATCTATTCTGTTCATCATTTTACTTTAAGATTCCACATATAAGTGAGATCCTGTGATATTTGTCTTTCTCTGCCTGCTTATTTTACTTAGCATGATGTTGTCCAGGTCCTCCATGTGTCCCAAAAGGTAAGAGGTCCTTCTTCTTTACAGCTGTGTAGTATTCCATGGTGTAAATCTCCCACAGCTTTTTCATCCACTCATCTACTGATGGGCACTTGGGCTGTTTCCAGATCTTAGCTATTGTAAACTGTGCTGCTATGAACATAGGGGTGCTTATATTCTTTCTGGTTAGTTTCAGGATTCTTAGGGTATATTTCTAGAAGAGGAATCACTAGATCAAAAGGAAGCTCCCTTTTTAATTTTTTGAAGAACCTCAATAATGCTTTTCATAGTGGCTGCACCAGTCTGCATTCCCACCAGCAGTGCACTAAGGCTCCCCTTTCTCCACACCCTCACCAGCACATGTCATTTGTTGATTTGTTGATGGCAGCCAATCTGACCGCTGTGAGGTGATACCTGATTGTGGTTTTAATTTGTATCCCTCTGATGATTAGTGACACTGAGCATTTTTTCATGTCCCTTGGCCATCTGTGTGTCCACTTTGGAGAAGTGTCTATTCAGGTCCTTTGCCCATTTTTAATTGAATCGATTGTTTTCCTCCTGTTGAGTTGTATGAGTTCTTTGTATATTTTGGAAATTAGTCCCTTATCAGATGTATTTTTGGCAAACATGTTCTCCCATACCATGGGATTCCTTTCTATATTTAGGATGATTCCATTTCCTTATTTTTTTTCAATTTTTTCCAAATTTTCTTCAATCTTAACATATACCATTCTAAATCCAAAATACTGAAATGCTGAACTTTTCATAGACAACCAATTGAATTAATGAAAAGTATTTATAAAATGCAAGTGGATATTCTATAGGAGAAAGCCATTGTGCATTAAAAATTTGCAGGAATAGTAGTCGTGTAATGCTAATGGCTAGTATTTGTTAGTGTGACTTAAAGGCTTTGTATCCATCATCCGACTCAAGCTTCCTTGTATCTCTATAGATAGGGAATTATTAATTATCTTGAGCGGATGAGGAAACTGGACCTTTAAAGTTTCCATGATTTATTAGAGGTTATACACCTAAAAGGGTTAGAGATCTAGAATTTAAACCTCAGAATGTTTGGTTCCAAAGCCAGTGGTAATAATCACTCTTCTACATTTCTTCTCTAAACAATAGATGAAATGATTTATAAAACCACTATCATTGTGACAAAAATGGAGCTATTTGCATAATGAAATTCTCTCTCATTTGAGTATGCATGGTCATTTGTATGCAAAGTTTAAAAAAATGACATCCATATTTTCTTATTTTGTTCATCAGTTGCCCTTAAAAACACATATATATAAAACATGGTTTAACACATATTGTATGATTTGCTATCACAACGTGGATTAGAAAAGACAAATTCCTGCAAATGTCCAGCAGTACATTTGATTAATAAAGGATGGCTCAAGAGAAACAAAAACAAATGAAAAGACTTCATTGTTTTTGGAGACAGCAAAGAAATACCCAACAGGCAAGAGAGCACAGAGAGGTGGACAGGTTAGCATCACAGTTACTGTAGCAGCCGGGAGCCCTCTCTCTGCAGGACTCTAATGAGAGCCTTTTTCACGTCCTGATTTCTCAGACTGTAGATGAGTGGATTCAGCATGGGGATCACAATAGTGTAAAATACAGACACCACTCGATCCTTTCCCAAGGAGTAGGACTTTCGTGGTCTTAAGTAAGTAAAAATCAGAGTGCCATAAAAGACGGTGACTCCCAGGAGATGGGAGGCACACGTGGAAAAGGCTTTTCTCCTCCCTGAAGTGGAGGAAATTTTCAGGACAGTGGACAGAATGGACAGATAAGATACACATATTATGGTAAGAGATCCCATTAGGGTGGTGACAGCAAAAACCAATATCATGATTTCGATGTCATGTGTGTCAGTGCAGGACAGGGCTAGGGTTGGGGAAATGTCACAGAAAAAGTGATGGATTATGTTGGAGTCACAGAAATGCAGTCTGCTCATGCAAAGCACATTGATAATCGAGTCCAAAAAGCCTTTCCCATAGGACCCAAAGATGAGGGAGCAGCAGAGTCTTGAGGACATGACAACTGGGTAGTGTAGAGGTTTGCAGATAGCTACATAGCGATCATAGGCCATTGAGGAGAGAAGTAAGCATTCAGTGGTACCNGATTCAGTGGTACCCAAGAAAATAAAGAAGTACATCTGGCTGAAGCAGCTCACGTATGAAATGTGCTTGGTGGAAGTCAGTAAGTTCTCTAAGGTTTTAGGTGTGATGACGTTGGAGTAACTGAGGTCAAGAAATGACAGGTGACTGAGGAAAAAGTACATGGGGGTGTGAAGCTGGAGATCCAGGCGGATTAGCAGGATCATGCCCGCGTTTCCCAGCACACTGGTCAGGTATATCAGGAGAAACAGGGTGAAGAGGGCCCGCCCGAGCCCCTCAGAGCCCGTCAGCCCCACGAGCACGAAGTGAGACACGTCTGTGCTGTTCCTTCTATCCATTGAGGTCACTGCTCAGCCTGTTGGGAATCAAGGTGACACTTGGCAGGAGTGGGTTCAAAGGGGTTACTTATATTAGTTTAACATTTCTAAAAACTGATGAAATGAGTGATTTACAGAATGTGATGGGGAAAACTGAATTTGATTGGCAAATACAGATATAGGCATAAATTGATACATGGGAATGATGTAATAAAAATCAACATATTGCATAATTAGAATGAAACTTAGAGTGTTCTAAATGCTTCCCTTTATTCATAT